ATAACCAGACATTTTCCAGCTGTAATTAAAACTGAGGACATCAGGACACATTTTACTAACCACTACAATGCAATATTTGGTTAAAAATAAATTTAAACTTAACCCCATGTTTACTACTGTAGTGTCATACTTCAAAATGCCTAGACAAGCAAGTCCTGCTATCACATAGCAGCTAATCTGTACTGGCAGTCATATTAGACGGCATATAATAAATCAATGCAGCTCAAGCGATTCATAAAAGCATTCCCATGAACCCTGTACAGTCCACACATTCATTAATACTATAGAGAGAACAATTATGAAGATGGCTTCCTTCTGGATTGTAATGCCATGTCTGGTAGAAGTTTACTGTCATTTCATACATCCTCGCCATCTCCCTGAAACATCGATAAACTTCTACCACACCAAACGGTCCTACAACCCAGAAGCCAATCTTCGTACTCACCGCACTGAGAATCACAAAACCTAAGAACAATTATGTTATGAAAGGAGATAAAAGGGTTAAGGTTTCACATTAACTCACCTGTTTCACACTGTAAACTGCCTGTACTTCACATTAATTTTAGTTAAAAAGCCAGTTTTATTGTACAATTAACAAAGAATAGAGGGGGGTCTAAAAAACTGTACATTGTCATATAAACATTTAAACATAATAATGAGAACTCATCCTATGTACACAATGTCTTACAATTTGCAGTACAAAAATTACAGAAACATTCAGTAAAAAATAAATATGTTCATAACATTCATTCTAAGATCACATGGATGAGTATTCTGAGATATTACTCCCACATTGTTTGTTGATGTCATCACATCACTTGCACATTTTTTAACTTCTCAATATGTACAATGTTAACACCTTAAGATGATTATCAGAATTTGTGCAATTCTTTGTTCTGAACACTATTTTTGTGAAAAGGTATGCATTTTGGCACCATTGTCCTCATTTTTAATGTTTATAAGGTTCCAACCACAATTAGTGATAAAACATAAAAGTGTCAACGAAAGAAAAGTTAGGATAACCTGGGTATATGACAGTAAACAACCCTTTGTCACACCACTTAAATTCACTTTATCCTACATTATCAGACCGCTCAGTTTAGTCCTTTTTACCTTATATTATCTGAAGTGCAGCAGAGGACATTTAATTTCATTACATCAGGTACAGCAAAGGGATAACCACTTGCTTAGATATTATCAGATTTTTTGTATATGATCTTTATTTTCATCATTTAATTTATTTCACTGGCTCTCTCTACAATTTTTTAGTCAAATTCAGATTTTAAAATATGAAATGAGGTATCGTAGTTCCTAGTAAGTTATACAACTACAATTTTAGTGTCTTTTGATGCAACAATTTGTACCGCCAAAATAAGGAATATTCATCATGTATGAACCTAACCTAACCTATTCATTTCATCACATGTCTGTCTACTGATGTTTTGGCCATACTTTCCAGAATTTGATTCAATGATGGAAACTGAGGACTAAGTGGCATTATTATATACCCTTAATTCCAAAATGTTTAGAATTAAATAAACGGTAAAGGTAAACTTGCCCATGCTAAAACTCCATGTAATGAAAACATACCAAGGAAAAGTAGAAAATCCATGCACTCACAATTTCATCACCAGATGGAATGAGGTCAGTATCACACTCCATGGAGAAAGAACTTCCAGTACCATGTGGACAGATGGGTGGAAAAGAGAAACATCTCTGTCCCTCATCATCCACCCTGCAGCCAGTCAGTTTCTTATTTGAGCTATCTTAACTCCACTAGAAAACAACACTGACAAATTTCCAGTGCAGGCTTACCAATTAAGCATTTTAGGGCAGTGCCTCACCGAAAACAGAAACTCAGATATTATAATTTATGTATGTAGATGGTATATACACTTGCAAATATGCATGAATATAAAATAGAAATGATGAGACATTCATAAAACATGTTTGTAATTTAATGTCCCCAATATCTGAAAAGTAGCTGCTTTCAGTTGCACCCTTGTTACGCTAACATGTCAAAGAACAAGTGCCCCAGCTGAGGAAATAGTTCATAGGTAAGATGGGTGTCTGGAGAGAAATCTTGCAAGACAGGGCACTTTTCGCTAAGACCCTACCTCCCCTAATAGGAAAGGAGTCTAACCAATGGAGGAAAATAACTTTCAGCCACTCAGGTAAATAAGCATTTAACACTTCCATCCATTCATATGAAGTTTCTACCACTCTTCATTTACCATTAAGACCCATACCACTATTTAAAAGTGTGCTGGATAATTTTGTGGAAAATACAGCTTAACATTCACAGGATATTATAATGACAAAATTCTTGGTAGCAAAATCAATTTCATTGATGCTGTAACCTCTGATACTTGCATTTTATGACATTAAGACATACTAAAATTTCACGATTTTATTTTACATTTTGATGTAGAAGTGTCCCACCAGAAAGGAAAAAGACATGAGCTGCCACTGCAAATTTCAAGTAGGAGTTCTGAAACACCAGAACAATGGGTCCTATCCTTATCTCTTAATTAAACAAATGAGCGCACTTTCAACAATATCAGCTGACTTTTTAAAACTTTTGGACTCATATACATAACGCAACATGAAACTTGTATCAAACAGCTTCCAAGCTACTTCCAAGAAAATAAACTAATGCCTGCCTTTTAATTCTTGAAATTTAAAAATTTAACCACACACCATTCTGCATTTAAAGATTATAACTAAAGACCTTCCCATCATTTCGTTTTAACTTTTACAGTCCCTTTTCAATTTCCCCTTTATGCCTCTTTAAATTTAGTGCTGAAATCTGTTGTATGCTAGGGAAAACTGAAATTAAAATTCTAGAGTCTTGTATTATCACATCATGTGAATGAATCCACATTTCCAGATCATTAGGATTTGAAGTTTTTCATAGCTGTGAGTATGAAGATGGCTGTCTTCTGGGATGTAGCACCATGTAGTCTCATAGAAGTTTATTGGTGTTTCAGAGGTCCTTGCTGCCTCCATCATCAGGAAGCAAGGATATCTCACACATTGGTAAACATCTACCAGACTACATGGTGCTACAACCCAGAAGACAGCCATCTTCACATTTCCATATATTAAAGACAGATGTCTTTAGGTAACAGTAATCACATGAAATCTTCTTACTACCTATGCTATGATATGCTGTGCGATGTTATGATATGGTTTACTCCCACTAGTTAATAAACAAAGTTTTAAGATTGTCTCATTTGTTTTGTGTGATACAAAATTTATTTTCAGCTTTTTGAAACATTTTGTAGCTTAAGTGCGTCATGTTTGTGTTGAAATCGAATATATATTTATTATCTCAGTCTATAAACAAACGTATTTAAAATGTTGTTGTTAAAATTTATATAACACTATAACATCTGTAGTATATAATATTACAATAAGTTATATTATGTTATATTATGGCGCTTTTATCGTAGTATGATGTTATATTTATTATGGCGCTTATTAATCTCAGAAGTAGTCAACTAGGATTACAAGTAGCCTGCCTTCATTAACGACATGGAATACGTTTTATGTGCATTGTGATACTTGTCAGAGTGCTGTAGGAATGTTTCCTTATCCAGCCAAGTGAAAATACAGTACAGTATGTTTGTGTAGGTAGAAGGTTTTATTGTGGATCGCTATTTGTTGGTGACTGCAGACAACAGTTCTCTCACATGTGTGTGATGTTTTGATTCCATTCTGTTCTGTCGTGTGGTCCAACCGACTTCTCTCCATAATTAATATTTCCAGTTTCAGTAAGATGGATGTCGTTTATATTGAGGAACGAGAAGCCGTACAAAAGAAAACATTTGCCAAGTGGATTAATTCACAGCTGCTGAAGAGCTCAGAACCTCCAATCGCTGACCTGTTTGTAGATCTGCAGGATGGTAACCGCCTGTTGTAACTTCTGGAGTTGCTCACAGGAAAACAATACAAACGAGAGAAGGGTAATATGAGAGTACATCATTTAAACAATGTCAGCAAAGCACTGCAGATCTTGGAGCAAAACAATAAAATGAACGTCTAACTACAGACATGAAGAGCATTATTGAAGACAGAAAAATCTACAAATACACCTATAAATCAATAAATGCATTGCATTGAAATATATAATAGTTTTAAAAAGATAAAAACGACGATATAAACCTGAAGATGATGTCTAAAACATCGAAACATGTCGTGCAATAATTAATAAGCGCCATAATAAATATAACATCATACTACGATAAAAGCGCCATAATATAACATAATATAACTTATTGTAATATTATATACTACAGATGTTATAGTGTTATATAAATTTTAACAACAACATTTTAAATACGTTTGTGTATAAATATATATTCGATTTTTGAAACATGTCTACTGTCTACAAAGCAGCTCAAGTAAAGACGTTCATAAAATGTGCCAATATCATAATGAAAAGGCTTCTGTGGCACAGATGCCACAGTTATATTATTCTTCATTTCACAGTACACATGAACATGACTGAACAACTATTTCAATATAACCCGTCCAGTTTAAAACTTACACTTATTTTATGGAAATAATTGCCAGGTTCAAATGAAAAATGCTCTTTAAATGTGCTACATTCTTTCCCAACACTATCTACTTTTAAAGATGGTTACTGAACCTACCAAGGGAGACAGTTTTAAAAAGAAACCAGACAAAATAAGACCCTCGGTTACAAAGTTGAAGAATTAAGCCTATGATGCAACTTGATATAAAAGTGGTCTAGGTACAGCCTTATAAACAACAGTGGTAGTTGGATCATCATTACTATGACTAGCTTGGTTGTTTTTTATAACTGATGCAAAAACATAACCAAGAAAGCCGTGGTATTAAGATTAAATGTGCCAATATTTGTACATTAAATCGTGGAGTTTTAATCCATGAGAAAAAGTAACTCGGCCATAAGTTCATATAAAACACACAGGAACGAGTATCACACTCATCAAAATACAAAAAAGTTTCTTAAAAACATATACTGACAAATCCAGCAGACATAGCATGGTGAATGTTGGATGCTCTGACCTGGAATTACACTTATACCTCCTCTATCACCAGGATTCGTTGCAGAAATACCAATAACAATTCACTTGATTTACCTCATAACAACATTACTGAACTTCATGTTGCAAGAGGAGACTTCTTGGTAGGTTTGGCTCTACCAGGAGCTACAACATCCAATGGATTACACCTCTTAGGTCTCAGAATAAAATTTAGATTAAAAGCTGTGTTGACAGCATAGTAAACATTTGCATTTGGTGGAAGAACCAGTTCTGAAAAAAGAAAAATTACATAAACCAGTGGATTCACTACTTCATACACTTATTGTTTATTTAACTATAATGAAGATGCTGTATTGACTTATCTGTTATATGACAAAACTAAAAATGCTTACTTTTATTAACATTACTTCTGCTATCACAGAACAAACCAAGTATATGTTCACTCTTATCATCAGAATACAGAATCTGTAATCTGCATCTAATATTGGTATAGTGATCAAATTAAGGAGGATAAGTGAGTGGGAATATAACACAGGGAAAATAATGAATATAAACATAATTTTTGTTAGAAAACCTAAAGAAAATATACCATTTTGGAGAAATAATTAAATATGGCACAATAACATTAAAATTAATCTTAGAAAAATAGAGTATAAATTAATAGCCCAAATTCAAACGGCTCAGGGACTCATGGTGGACTTCTGTGAACACAGAAAAATTTGAGTTCAATACAAAAAAGGAAATTTATTGACTAACTCAACAACCTTGAAATTTTCAAGAAAGATTCTGCATCATATAGTAAATGGACAAGAAGAATTTTTTAAGCACTGTTCATCTATCCTTTCTACATTAAAATTTAAAATAGGAATGTGTTTTAATAATATCAGAACCATGTCCATAAAAAATTATATTCTACCAGAAGTGTGATAAACATGTGAGGATGTAATGAGATAAAAAGCTGGACTTATAAAATGCAGACTATCACAATGAAATACAAACACATGTTGCTTGCTATGATTACCAGTGTATTTTACAATATTCCTCTAAACAAGACTATTTTTGAACATAATAAAGTTCCATTTTTGATTAAGGTTGGTAGGCAATTTCCTGCTACTGTGATTCTTGAACCAACCAGCAGATGCCTAAGAACCTGGTTTTTGTTACATGCCAGATCAGAAATTGTGAAGTTAATTTATTTCTTAACTACATGTTACACATCATGACGAACAAAAAATTATCTCTGTACGTTAAACAGGAACACAGGAAAAGAAATTTATGAAAACAGAGAAAAGTCACTCAAGTTTTCTGAGGATTACAGGAGTGACCCCTCTATACATGATATCACTTTCACAGATACTGTTAGACAAGCTGGAAGATAAATAATGAAAATGATCACAAAATCTGCAAGTTATATATTGCATGTTATGTCTGTATGAAGGATACACTTTACAGTGCATATTACTGTAAAGTGGGCAGCTTTTGCACATACCAAGCTGCCTAGGTGTGAATGTGTTTAAATGACAACTCAGTATGAGGTTCTTGTGGTGGAAAGCAAGAGGAGGGCTGTCTTCTGGATTGAACTTCCATGCAGACTGGCAGAAGTTTACTGATGTTACAGTAAGCATCTCTGAAACATCAGTAAACTTCTACCAGACTATACAATGCTATAACCAGAAGACAGCCATCGTCAAATAAGAACTTTGATGCAGAAAACTACTAACTCTTGCTGAAATATTAAACCACAGCTTATTTAAGATCGGACATTAGGAAGAATCATTTCTCTTCGCCTACCTTTATCAGGCAAAACCTGGGCTAATGTGTAGCTATCTGGATTTCCCTCCAAACCAAGTTTCAACATTGCATTACGAATGACTTGTGGAGTTCGCTCATTGTTGCTCAACATGATGCTCTTGTAAAGCACAATACCTGCAAAGAAGGTCCATAATAACAGCAAACTGGTACAGAGTACCAGCAAAAGCAAACAGTTTGACAGTTTGTATGATGGATTAAAATTCATAATTCAGTTAAATACAGCAGATTCCCAATAATCCAGTGTCTTACTGCCAGACCACAAGGTTCTCCACATACCATCTTTCCACTGTTGACCATTCATAAGCTATGTCACAATAACTGCTTCATACATTCTGAGTACTACTGTCCACAGATCACGAGAAAAACCCTGCTGACGGAAGTCGTTTCTGGTGCGGTGCGGGGGGAATGTTACTTATCAGCTGGACTAGAGGGCTGCTATTGGTGGGAAGTGTGATACGTCAGAGTTTTACACTACTACACACAGACTGAAAACATCAAGCCGTCAAGAGTAGCGTGTAGTGAGTGCACCTCTAATGTGTTCTGCGGGTGTTGCGATAATATTCTAGATTAAATCACTATGCCGCTGTGAGGTAATCTTAAAGCTGTACCTATTAGAAGACATGAAAGCCTGTTTGTTGTTCGTTCAGTGATTATTGAACGAATGCTTTTAGGATCGGTCGTCACTCACCGCGAAATCTTTCGCATGCGTGTATATCGAATTCCTAGCAGGGATTTTCTCCTGATCTGTGGACTGTAGGTACACACAATGGCACAACCTGTGTGCACTGCAGTATGACTATGCATGACTGCCTGACCATAACTCTTCAAACATAAAGCAATGCCAATAACTGACATTTATACCAATCCTAGATAGTCAAAGTTCAAAATATCTTATGTCTCATTTCCACTACTCAACATGACATTAAACTAGCTAACAATATAGCAGAGTCCCTCATGAGAAGCTGATAGTTACTCGGCCAGTTAAGAAATCCCCCTCCTTTCATGGAATGCTACATTCTTTATTGTTTCACAACAGCTTGTTACTGGACCCTACTTGAGCCATATGAATCTAGCCCATTACTTCACACTGTTTCTTTAAGATCCATTTAATGCAGTATTATACATAACTAACTAACTAGATGGCTTAGGGAACCTGAAGGTTCTTCACTGAATTAACCAAAGCCCTCCATCAGTCCCTGTCCTGGGGCTGCAAAATCCAATTGCCTTCAACTCGTATAACACAGATCCTGCTTGATATTATCCTCCCATCTACGTCTAAGTCTCCCCAGTGGTCTCTTCCCCTCAGGCTTCCTGACCAATACCTGGTGCACACCTCTTGTCCCATCCATGCGCGCTACATGCTCCACCCATCTCATTCTTCTTGACTTAATCACCCTGACAATACTGGGGGAGGAGTACAAATTTTTAATCTCATCATTATGCAGTATTCTCCATACTCCAACCTCTTCTCTCCTAGGCTCAAATATCATCCTCAACACCCTCTTTTTAAACACCTGCAATCTATGTTCCTCCCTCAAAGCAGTATTATACGTGCATTCCATAAATATTCTCCTCTTTCCCACATTACATAAAGAGTACAAATTATGAAATTTCTCATTTGTACCTGTAATTCAGACTAACATATTTATAAGTACCACAGACATCAGTATCTCCTTTTTTAAATAATGGTATTACTATAGCTTTTGCCAGTTTTTAGGAGTTTCCATGTAGAATTTTATTTTAAAATGTCAAAATTCTCTTTCTGAAAACAATGCCTTAATATTTAAATAATTCAATACTGATATTATCCTCTCCAGATGTATTCTCATTTATACAGTCTGCAAGGACACAGTTTAATTCATCAAGAGTCAGGTCTTCAGTGTTGACTGTTGGTAGAAATTGGAAGATTTGGAACAGAAT